TATTTTATTGATTTTAGATATTCTTCAGTAGTGAACTTATTAAATTTCACGTTATTAGGATAATCCTTTCTTAATTCAATTAAACTGTTATACCTGGCATGATTAAATTCTCATGATTTAATGAATTATTGAAAAATATTTTCTTCGAATGATATTCATTCTTTGAAAGCTGCAGAACTTATTAGCCATTTTTTATACAAGCCATAATTTATTAAAAACAATATTGAGGGAGTGGTGAATCATGTTTTACTTTGGAAATATTAAACTATAAGATTATTTTAGCATGAATTATAAAATTATAGCATCTTACTTGAAAACTGTATAGTGTGACGCTTTTGCTTAAAGAATTTAAGGCCAATTCAAAATTTTAAAGTGTGATGCGGAAATTTAAGCAATGGACATGTAAGAGCATGCTTTTTAGTTGAATTCTTTTCAAATAGTATGCATAAGAAGCAAAAGATCATACTATTTTAAAGAAAGGAAATAGTAATTTGTACCAGAAAAATTCTATTTTAGTGTATAAAATCATTTCTCATTTTGATATAAGAAGCACAATTGCTTTCTGTTGCATCGCAACAGTTTGGGAGTTGGAGATTTGAATTGATAAATGTTAAGCAGAAGAAGGAGCAGCTGGAAATAGTGAAATGAAAGAGGCCATTTTTTAGTGATGGCCTACTTATAAACCAACGTGTTCCAAAAGAAAAGAAAAACGTTCTAAATCTTTTTCGAAATAGGTATGAAATCCATCAAAAACGAGAAATAAATTCGTCAAACAACGATGAAAGTTTCGATTCTTATTGAAGGTAAAATCTGAAATGGTGCATACATACTTGCACTCAAAAATGCTTTCAAATTCATATGAATAAATGGTTTGAGTGCAGTTTTGAAAAGAAAATGAAATAGTACCATCTATCCAGTACTTTTTACCGCAAAATCCATTTTTACACCAAAATTTTACGAGCCGAAAAAATCTGATATAAAGTAATTTTGACAGTAATATTTATTATAAAATCACTGAATCACTGTAATTAAATAAATATTACTGTAAAACGTAGCCTATAAAATGTTACGGTAAAAATGAGCTTTACAGTTATATTTATTTTACAAATGCTACTCTCAGGGTGTCAGTACTTTTTACTGTAATTTACTTCGGAATTATTACAGTGTGCGTCACACCTTCTGGTCTAAGATAAATAAAATAGCGCGAATGGGTATTCTATATTAAACAAATTGTCAAAGTAAGCGGCAACGTTTGGGCGAAATTGTTTTTTTTTATATATATATATATATTAAATTAAAAGAATGATTTGGCTTACAACATTTGTCACATTTCATCGCTATGCATAACTGGAGATCAACATGCAGGGCTAATTTCAATAAATCCAGGCACTTTTTCAATAATATTTTTGACGTAAAGTTGACCAGCATGAAGTTATTCTATAGTCATAGTGACGGTATGAAAAATGTATGATGTATCAGTGCACAATACTCACAACCTTATATGAATTAATGTGTGTTGTTATGAAGAAAGTAATAACACTAACACCCACTGCACACAAGTATAGTGTGCGATACGTTATAAACTGCCTACTTCAGAGATTATGAGAAATTTGGAGGATTTATAATTATTTCCATAATTTTTAAGACACAAATATTTTTTCCTGTAAAACACAAAGCAGCATAGATACATTGCAGATAATAATGCTTTCATCAAAAGCACAAATAAAAAATAAAAATAAATAAAAAAATAAATAAAAATAAATAAAAAAAACAATCTGGAAAAAAATATCTCACGTATGTTTTTTATTTTAAGTAAAGTTTTTTTCCAATCACCTTTTTTTTAATTTCATTTTTCAATTAAAGCAAAATTTTTATTTCAATAACTTTTTATTTTGTTCTTTTTATGTCCTACATTGTTTTAAAAATAATCCCTTAAAATATTTAGTTTTTAATAACAGTAAAAATGTTAATGAAATAAAAAAAATTCTATTCACTTAATCCTCAGAAAATTTGAATTCAGAAAAGTGTTTTTTATACCTTTATTGAATTTAGAAATAATTTTAAAATTAACTTTTTGTTTATTTAGTTGATTAAAAGAAAATTTGCAGATTGAAATTTTTATTCTACTTCGCTTTTATTAAGTTACTAGATAGAATATTAAATTTGAGCCACGTAAATAAAAAATAATATCAATATTTTCTCATCTAATTCTTTTTTAAAGATTAAGAATGTATATTTCAGCTGTCGAATAAGTTCACGGTTTTTTAAATAATTATTATTAGGTAATACATAAATAAATTCTGAGTTCAAGTTTAGATAAATTATTGAAAACTTTGACATAAAACTACGAATTTCTAAATTATTTTAGTTTTAACAAAAAATTTATATTTAAAAATATATAATAATTAATACTGATGGATTAAATAAAATAAATTGGCTTATAGGTAAACCTTTTTTACTGTTTCTCCCCCTCTTATTTATGCAGTCAATTTTTATTTGTTTATTTCAGAATCATTGTTTCTGGCAAATGGAGAAAAAACTTTTGGTAAAATTGCCGCACGTATGGTAATGACATTTCTGGTGGAAAAAAAACAACATAATTCTGGTGATAAAACTCAATATAATTTAAACCATTAATTTGTAATTTTTCCGTTCATATGATATCGGTTTACCGGAAATTCTGGTTTTGAACATAACTGAAAGAAATTTTACTGAGTAAATGGTTTTTATGCCATGCTCAGGATAAAATTTGATAAACTTAACAGATTTTAACACATATTATAAAACCGTATTTTCAGTTTTACCAAAATCATTACCAAAGTGCTTCAGTAAAAATTAAAGCTTTTTGGAGCTCCCATAGAGCCAGAAACACGGTAAGTTTTGCTGCATTTTTGTGGTTTTGATCATACTTTTTTGTCAGTGTAGATTTGTTCTTTACTCTGGAGAACTGCAGGATTTAGACTTTTGACTTTTTGAATTTATTCATTAACTCTCTTTGTTGTGTTTTAAAAAATTAGGAAAATTAAGAGTATTTATTTTTAATGTGATCTAAAAATTTCAAAGCGTATTTCAATTATTAATTACATTATTGAAAACAATTTCTAATTAAAGTAGTCGTAAACAGGATCCAAAAGACAAAGACCTATCTGTTTATAAATACAAGGTAACTGTTCCTTTATAAAACGAATGTCTAATGAACCTTATCAAAAGTAGACAAGTGAACAGTCAGGCAGAGGAGCAATTGAAACCAAAAACCTCCAAATATGTAGCAACCGTATTAAAAGTTAAAAGCAAGAGTAAAAGTATCCAAACCACGCTAATCTCATGATATCTAACTTTACTAACTAAATAGTTTGAGAAAATAATTAACATAGAAAATTCATTAGAGTTAAAATTTATGAATATAAATTAAAAAACTGAATGAGACTTAAACGTTAAGAAATGTTTAAAGTCTACCATGGCAGGGCAATGACTTAAATAGCCGAAAAATATACACTGAGAAGGAAATCAAGCTTGTTCTTAGAGCTTTCTTTGAAGAAAAAAAAACACTAAATTTTTCCAAAAAAGGAATTTAAGAATATGTAACAGAAAAGGATAGCAAATACATTATTGATTAATTAACACTACTTTTTTATGAAAGTATGAAGCATTTTATTTGATTTTCATTAAAGCATAAGCTTTTGCAATCGCCTGATAATGAATAAGCAAATTTTCAAAAATTTGACAATATGCAGTGTTAGAAATTCCTCGGAAAAAATAGTCAAATTACAATTTATTTAATCGCCATTTTACCATAAAGCAGTCAAATAACCATAAAATTATAGCATTCAAAAAGTTAAATGAGAGAAAAATCGTTTATTGGCTGTTTTCATGACCGTTAAGAGCACGTTCTTCGTAAGCTGGAAGCTAACCCTATGATGAGAATTACGCATTCATATTGTCATTTTCTATCATCGACTTCAGCTCATGCGGTTCCTCTCTTAATTGAAGCTGCTTCTTGCCCATCGCCATGGATCAATCGCAAAATTGCATTGGTGCCTCTGTGAGGCAACTGATGAGTGATGGAGGGACTGTCTATGACTTGCTGATGCGACATGATCTTCTGGACTTGGTCTAGGGCTCTAGACCGGCCACTAGCTTCACTTGGTCTAGGGCTCTAGACCAAGGGATAAGCAACAACATTTTCTATCATCAGGTTCCTAATACAACAGCGGATGCCTAATAATTTTACAGTTATAAGTGTGTGGTGAGCATCTTATGAAGCTACTTAGTTCCTTGCAGATGAGTACATACTTTAGCTGAGAGGGCTAATCAGTCAATCTCATGACCGGTTAAACGGGAATTCGAATTCCGGTTTGGAAACCACAATACTTCTCCGTTCCTTCAATCCATGAGGGAATTTCAGTGTCCTGCACTCCTCAATTTAATACCAAACTCTGATTCACACATGTTTCAGCACCCCAGAGCTGCTATACGCAATGAATTTTAGTATTCCCCATCTCTCACGATAGATGGCACCACAAGATAAATTATTTATTCCACATTCCATGGTTCGCTTGACAAAACACAACTCCAACACAAATTATCTTCAATGCCTATTACCTAACCAAAAGCCTAACATAACCAATGTCCAATAAAATTTCATTTTTATGATTTTGCTAGGTGTTAATGGTTACGATAATTCTAGTTGTAAATTTGCCATGTTAGGTGTAAATTGGGTCATGCTAGTTGTAAATGCTTATGATCTTGTATTTAATGGTTTGTTACCCTTACGACAAGTAAACAGTATCAAAATCATAAAAGTAATTAATTGTTCTTAACCGTTAACTAGATGGATATTGACAGACTGTTGCTTGTAAATTTACCTCAATTTTAGAATGAAAATTCTAACAGTGTAACAAAAACATCACTAAGCAACATTTCATTTAAATCTGATTTTCATTTCAGTGCAGAGATAAATTTTATATCACTATTTGACTAATAAAAGTTGATTTATTTACCTGCAGTGCAAAGCCTGGGATCTTCGTCGTAACCATCTGAACAGTCTGGCGCTCCATCACATAAGTATTGAATAGAAATACATACTGTTCTGTCTCCTGGACAACGGAATGGTTGTGTTGGGTGACACCTGTCACTATCTGCTGCAAAAGAACAAAACTGATTTAAAAATTGATCAATAAGATTAATACTTTTTAGTTAAGGTCTGTTATTTTGTAAATGAAAGTTTCATACACGCACATTATATATGAGATAATAAATCTCATCCATTATGAATTTTCTAGCACTCATAAAAGAGATTTTGGGTTCTTTAAATATTTATTTACACGAATTTGTTTTTTAAGTCAAATTTGTCATGATATGTTTTGTAACATAAAAATATTGACAGAAAAATGTATCAGACTGAATGAAATCTAATTCTAAAAGAGTCACATTTATTTTTGTATACAATTACTTTCGTATACAATTATTTTCAATAAAATGTGCCTGAATCGACTGCTTTTTTCTTTCAAAAAATTTATATCTGCATAAATAATGGAAAGTGAAAGAAAAGAATGCATATAGAACTATTTAATTCAATTGTTCATGAAAGAGCCGTGGTGGCTCAGGGGATAGAGAGCTCGTTTTCCAGTGAGGTGAACCGGGTTCAAATTTCACCAATGGCTGGTTGAATTGAATTTCGCACCCGTCTTGCATTAACCATAATGTTGACATGAAATATCCTCAGTGGTAGATGAACCATGGTTTAGAGTCCCCTTGCCATCAGGCTAGCCGTAGGAGGTTTTCGTGGCTTTTCCCTCCATGTAACGCAAATGCGGCTTAGTTTTATCAAAAGTCCTCCACGAAGGCAAATTTTCCCCAATTCTTGATCCAGGAGTTCTCTTGAGTTCTGGATTGAGTTCAAAATTACAAGGCTACGGAGTGGAGCTTTGGTTTATTCGGAACTTTGGCTAATTTTTATATATCTACAATTTAATTTAATTTTTGTTGCCATTATGCTTTCACTGTACCATATTTCGAGGTTAGAAAATATTCTTTTAGTAATTTTCATCGCTTTCTCTTTCAAAGTTTCAGCGTGTTTCGGACCATAAAATTTGAAAATCCACTTATTCTAATCTGGTTTCCTCAAGGCCATTTAAATCCTAGGCATCTCCCCCTTAAAAATCTGTATTAGTATCTGTGAATTGATTATGCAGCATGAGTAATACTTAAGCATTTTCATGCTCATTTGAAATAATTTAACGAATTGCAATAATACACGGAATAGTGCGTAAGAAGGCTTTATAAAAGCTTTAAAAATCTACCCCTTAAAATTCTACAACAAACCAACTTCCCTCCAGTTTTTTGTCAGTTTTCTGAAAGTTTACAAGTTTTACTTGTAATATTGCTAAAATTAAATAATAGAAGTATTATAAGAAACTAAAGTTTCAAACAGGCTATTTCTGAAAAATACCAAAACATCAAAAAATATGTTAATTTCCTAAACCCTAGCAATAAATATTATATTATTTAATTAATTTTCTTATCATATCAAGCATTGATTTTAAAGTATTCTTTTCGTAATATTTTACACAAAAACTGAACTACATACATTTTTAGAATCAGTATCACTCTGATTACAAATATAAACAATAAATGTGATATATCTCTTATCTATTATAATTCTATTATAACGTAAAATACAATAGTAATATGCTACATCTCCTTACAAAGTTGCCTACATCTAAACGAGAAAAAAAAATTGAGCTTATAGAAAATACAGATAACTTCTCTTTACACTTATTTTGAATAACTTAAACTACATACGTTTTGTAATATACCAATTTCATAAAGGGTAAGTCTAGATAAGATGGACATAGAGGACATATGGTAAGTTGAAATTTCTCCGATATTTTTTTAATATATTGCGCCAGATGCAGTTTCGCAGAAAGCAATTTATCTTGTTTATCAATTTGGACAAAGCATTGTTTTTCGTTACAACAAAAAGCATGTTAAACTTTAATGTTTATTTTATTTAGGGGTAAAATATTTTTCATGAATTAAGTAATCTGTTGTTTTATAATGCGTAGTATTTATTTCTTTAAACTAGCTGGACCTTTAAAGCACATGTATAGTCTAATCTTTGTTCCTGAGTAAAAAGCATAATTATGGTGGAGTGAGACAGCCACCATTGTTGAAGGAAATCGCCATTGTTGAAGGAAAGATGAGTCACATAAAATGGAAGAGAGATGGCCACTCATCATTAATACTTATGTTGCGCTATTTCTAATACCAATATCATCAAGCCTGCTTGGTGAAACCCATCGAATTTAAGGCAGAGGGTGCGTTTTTTTAGTGGCGCCATCTATGACCAAGAATATGACTTCAGCTACACACAAGCCACAGCTCGTTTATAGGGCGGACTCATTCATACATCCATTTATTCATCCACAGATTGTAAGTTTGACCTGAACCAGAGAACAACAAATCTCAAATTCAGTTGCCCCAGAAGTGTTGATTTTTTAATGAGAACATAGAGGACTTTGTGACCCGACAGATTTAACGTGCACCAATCACCCTTTACTACATGGGGAGTCTGTGGTCGGCGGGGATCGAACTCATGACCTCTTAGACATGGGCCTAACGCCCTACTAACCAGGCTATCACGGCCCCATTAATACGTATTGACATATCAAAGGTCACAAGGCCCTTAAAAAATTTAAAAATAGGTAAAAAAATACGATGTATTTTAGTAAATTAGTCTTCACCACCACGCTTAATATCTCCGAATAATCTTTTTTCGTTAATGGCGTTCGTTTGGCTTCGCTTCGTAATTTTAAGATAAAAACTAATTAAAAGAAATCCTTACTTTCTTTATTAAAATATTTAAACCACTCTTGTAAACTTTTTTAGAACTGTATGAGTGCTGACCCGCATATTACCCTTCGATTCTTCAAACCTAATATATTATCCCTTACAACCCTATAACCTACTCGATAGAACCCTACATTATATTCGTTTCTTCAGAATTTGATGAATATCAATGAATACCAGCTGTGGAGAAGAATCGAATACCACAACTAAAAATGTTGATCGGAAAAGATATGGTGCAAGCAATGGCTTCATAATAAATGAACAATATTTTAAAACTTCAACCAAATACGTGGTAAAGTTTTTCCGAAATTGATGGATTAAATCCGTTCATTATACTTTTTACTAAATTGTTTCTACCTATTTTTTATGATAAAATTATTTTTTTACAATTTATCGTAAGTTTTTATGGTTAGCTGAATGAAACGAATTATTTCCATACTCAAACTTCATTTTTTAAATTGGATATAGCTAACTCTCCTCGACATTAAGGAGAGACGGCCACTTGTAAGTCAATTTTCAAACATTTTTTTTTTCAGATTTTATTCTTAATATCTCATTGTTTTTTATTCAAAATATGTTGAGCACATGTCCTAGAGCTTAAAATATGCATAAATATTTCTTATATTTCTATTCCTAATACTTTTACTTCGATTTTACCCATTTTTTATGATAAAATCAATTCTTTTCATCATATCGTAAGTTTTTTAAAGGGTGGATGAGCTATTTCCATATATTAAACTCATTTTTCCTTTTCTAAATGGGATAGTAAGAAGAGATGGTAAATTATAAATCTATTTTCAAAAAAAAAATTTTGGATTTTATTCTAAATGTCTCATTATTTATTTTTCAAAATATGTTGAGTTCATATCTTAGAATTTAAAATATTGATAAATATTTCGTCAATTTCTTTCTTAATATCTTTATTTTGATTAGAAAAAAATAGGACTATCTGTCCTATGCTTAAGCTATATGAAACTGCACATTTCAGTGAATTGGGGGAGGTATTAAATATAATTGCAACAAATACCAAGATGCTTATTTTATGATATACATTTATTCACAACTCATTCGAATCGTAAAATTCTTTCATGAATAAAATTATTATTCAGAATCCTGTTAGTACGTAATTATTATTTTATAAACTATTATAATTCAATTATCTTTAAAATATTTTCGATTTACAATAAAATTCTCAAAACAAGGTCTGTTAAGGGCGCAAACTATTCAGTTTATTACTTACCGAGCTTTAACGTGAATTGATTTCATTTAAAATTCAGCATTTTTATAAATACAGAAAATGAAAAGAAGTTAAAATGACGGTTTAAAATTGTAATGAATAATGAATGTACTTTTAGAATGAAATTTTCGTTTATATTGTTCACTTTAAATTTATTATTGCGACACTTTTCAAAAAATTAAAATTACTCAACTTATAAAATATAAGTATTCAAAATCAAATTTAAAACCATTCTAGCACTTGAATTTCGGTCAATTTCTTTGTAAAGCATAGATTGATTTAAATTACAATACAATATAAAATTTGCGTGCTTTTATGAAAAGTTCAGTCAAAATACGAGAAATTAGATTTTATGAATAATGTTTAGTGGTTCGATTCATTTTTATAAATTGGAATTCGAAATTTACTGTTCCCATTTGATCATTAAGTTTTTTCCATTTTGTTATATCACTTTGAAGTTTTCCACGGTATTTTAATTCTTTTAATTTTGATAACATAGAAATATTTTTTGCTGCGTGGTATTTTAGTTGAAGTACTTCGCATTTGATTTAATGAATCAACTCTTTCTTTTCCACATTTATTCTTGCAATTTTTTTACATAAATATGAATGGCGTGATATTTTGAATGAAATTGCCATCAAAACCATTTATTAACTACAAGAACAAACACATGACATTACAGAAGGCTAATATTTTTTGCTAATAGTTATTGAAAGAATTTAAAAAATTTCTAATCTTAGAATGTTGCATATTTTTCTATCCTTATTATTTTCTAAATTATTATTATAAACTATTATTATAAATTATTATATTATAAATCATTACTTTTTACTATTACCGAAATTATTATGAACTATTATTATAAATTATTATATAATAATCTATTCCTTTTTATTATTTTCTAAATTGTTCTAAATTATTTCTTTATCAAAACTAAAATGACAATTTCAATTTCTGAAAAGCAAATTAAAGTAAAATTTCTAAAATATACATATTTCAAATTTCATGGGTTTTTCTTTTAGTTTTAGAGATAATAGCATTTTAAAGCTGAAA